ATGATGACTTAAGACACTGAGAACGATGACTAAGGTGTTGGGTATGATGACTTAAGACACTGAGAACGATGACTAAGGTGTTGGGTATGATGACTTAAGACACTGAGAACGATGACTAAGGTGTTGGGTATGATGACTTAAGACACTGAGAACGATGACTAAGGTGTTGGGTATGATGACTTAAGACACTGAGAACGATGACTAAGGTGTTGGGTATGATGACTTAAGACACTGAGAACGATGACTAAGGTGTTGGGTATGATGACTTAAGACACTGAGAACGATGACTGAGGTGTTGCGTATGATGACTTAAGACAGTGAGGACGATGACTGAGGTGTTGAGTATAATGACTTAAGACACTGAGAACGATGACTAAGGTGTTGAGTATGATGACTTAAGACACTGAGAACGATGACTAAGGTGTTGAGTATGATGACTTAAGACAGTGAGGACGATGACTGAGGTGTTGAGTATAATGACTTAAGACACTGAGAACGATGACTAAGGTGTTGAGTATGATGACTTAAGACACTGAGAACGATGACTAAGGTGTTGAGTATAATGACTTAAGACACTGAGAACGATGACTAAGGTGTTGAGTATGATGACTTGAGTGCCTTATCCCTAACGACTTAAAACCTTAAGTAGAATGATTTTCAAGTGTAATTATCCCTTAAGTGAGGATTATTTAAAAGTGTCGAGATCGTAAGTGCAATTACTTAACACTTGGACCACATGTAGTGTTAAGTGCAATTACTTAAGATCTGTGGATTTTGTGGATAATGTCCTAAAGTGCGATTACTTAAGACACTTGGAATGAAAAGATTAATTATTCCAAGTGCGATTACTACTAAACAACTCGACTTGGACTGATGAAGCCTTTAAGTGTGATTAAGTGGCTTTCTTAAGTGTGATTATTTAAAATCTCTTATATCAATGACAGGAGACGTAAATAAGCGTACTTAAATATCAATTAAGACAATTTCATAGTTACATCCAAATTAATCAAGTTAATTACTTATCGTTTTTGGCTTCAACTATTCAAAAACAACAACAACAATAAAACAACAATACCAACAATAAACAACAGAAGAAGAACAAGAACAAGAACAAGAACAAGAAGAAGAACAAGAACAAGAACTCAATATATCAATCCACTATTATCCTGTTTACTCATCTCTCTCTTTATCTCCTTCCACATCATCTTTATCATCGTCTTAATCTCTTGGCAGTCTTCTTCATCTTTGCCTCGTTTCTTAACTTCCTCCTCAGAGATAAGACCCGTAATGACAAGAGTGTTTAAGGCAGTTATTAGCGCCTTCACCCTTAACTATTGTTCCCTGCAGGCTGTGTATAACCTCGGCCACACACACACACACACACACGTCTTGAGAACAGTCGATTGATATCTGGGTAATTACTGCCGTTCTTCGTTAGCTCTCTCTCTCTCTCTCTCTCTCTCTCAATATATTTCTCTGTCTGTCTTTGTCTATCTATTTATTCATCTCTCTCTCTCTCTCTCTCTCTCTCTCTCTCTCTCTCTCTCTCTCTCAATATATTTCTCTGTCTGTCTTTGTCTATCTATTTATTCATCTCTCTCTCTCTCTCTCTCAATATATTTCTCTCTGTCTTTGTCTATCTATTTATTCATCTCTCTCTCTCTCTCTCTCTCTCAATATATTTCTCTCTGTCTTTGTCTATCTATTTATTCATCTCTCTCTCTCTCTCTCTCTCTCTCTCTCAATATATTTCTCTCTGTCTTTGTCTATCTATTTATCTCTCTCTCTCTCTCTCTCTCTCTCTCTCTCTCTCTCTCTCTCTCAATATATTTCTCTGTCTGTCTTTGTCTATCTATTTATTCATCTCTCTCTCTCTCTCTCTCTCTCTCTCAATATATTTCTCTCTGTCTTTGTCTATCTATTTATTCATCTCTCTCTCTCTCTCTCTCTCTCTCTCTCTCTCAATATATTTCTCTGTCTGTCTTTGTCTATCTATTTATTCATCTCTCTCTCTCTCTCTCTCTCTCTCTCATTTGTTCACTGTCTTTGGGTTTCCTGTTTTTATTCTTGGTCTTTCTGTCTCCCCTTCCTGTCATCGTCTGTCTGTCTATACGTCTCTGTCTCTCTTATCTGGTTCTCTCTTTTCGTTTATTTTTTTACATCACCACTTGTTTGTGTTCGTCTGTGTCCGTGATTGTCTCTGTGCTTGCGTGAGTGCGTGTCTGTATATGTAATTGCTTTGTGTGCGTGCGTGCGTTATGTCTATACACGCACACATATATAAGTAAGATAAATCATTCCATTTTTTAATTTCTCGACGCATTAACATATAGATAAGCATCCATGTTGTACTGCGAGAGGTCGAAGAAAATAATTTTTTTTAACCAATAAAAACCTTCCTTCTAATCATCTCGTTCGTTGATTGGCTTTCCCTCCCTGATACGTTTTATCCAAATATGCTGAACCATATTATGAAGAGTGGTGAAACTCTTGATGCATTGCTCCCTCAGGCGCCGACGGAAGGTATCATGACCCACCGACTGGGAAGGGCGTGGAATCCCCCCCCCATCCCCCTCCCCCATCCTCGCCCATCCTTGGAGGTGGTGAATGGTACCATCCGTCAGGCGCCGACGGAAGGTATCAGGACCCACCCACTGGGAAGGGCGTGGAATCCCCCCCCATCCCCCTCCCCCATCCTCGCCCATCCGAACTCATCCATCCTCACTCAGCACCTATCCACCTAGAAACTCATCCATCCTCACTCATTCACTCTCACACAACACAGAAAGTCAGATCAGCAACCTTGGACTTGGTCACAATTTTCGTGATGACATATGGCAGCAGGGTCTACCATTAGACAACACATTATGCTTCCAATATCTTCCCAGGCGGTAGTACCTCCCTGTTCGGTAGCTCAAAAATGCGGGCCCAGGGAATCCTTATAGGATTCTCCACAACTCGTGTCGTGGAGTCCTGATCGTTCCCGAAGGATCTATATGAGGCGGGAACTGCTTGGTGGTGCGTGGGGAGGAGAGTGACCGTTGGAGTCGGCACTCTGTTGGTTGTGATGAAAACTAGGAAGAGGTAGCTGAAAGAGTGTCCATTGATAAGTTAGTTGAGCTGACAGGTGAATTGATAAAAGGTCTCGAACAACGCACTTTTGTTACTGAACAGGAAATAATGAATGTTTACATGTTACAAGAAAAACTAATCAAAGAAAGACCAAAATACATGAAACAGGTTAGCTTGCAGGATATGTTCAGAAAAATAGCAGAGAAATCTGTAAGACAGGAGTCAACACTTTTTAGATGAAACACAAGACAGTCTTGATGACCCCCTGCTTTCAGGCATGTAACTCTGCTTAGTTGTACAATCCAACTCTTTACTTTGGAAGTGGCAATAACCAACCTTCTGATGTAAGTAAATACAGATACCTTGTGTTAACGCTCATAGGAGCGTTATTGATTTGGGTTGGAGAATAAGACCCTCAATGATGACACGTACCATATAATTCGTTCAAAACCTGTTAAAGAACAATTCACATATAACAAATGCTGTTATCTCAGGACACAGTATGAATAATACAATCAATGTACAGTACATAGCCTGTTAAATATAACTCACATGTTACAACTGTTGATACATCAGGAGACAATTTGTATTATATTATCAAAATACAGTACGTAAATATACTTATTAAGGTTATTTAGAGTTTTTTAGAGGATTTAATAGTTCACACTCACGTTTTAGGGTCTATGATTTGACCAACGAGAGCTGGTGTAATATCCTCTTGGTAAAGGTATATGTTGTACAGTGGTCCCTCGGTTAACGAGCACAATTCATTCCAGAAGGTTGCTCGTTATCTGAAACCATTGTTTCAATGGGTTTTTGTGTAATTGGTTCCAGCTCACCGAAAATTACATGCAAACTAAAAATAAATGCAGTAAAGTACACTTACTTTGAGGTGTGCATGTAGAAGGCTCCTGGTTGATGATGATGGGAATTAGAATGGGGGTGGAGGAGAAGGGAGAAGAGAAGGCATTGGGGTGGAAGAGAAGCCACCCCATGCTGCCATTTCACCCATAAAATTTTAGTTCACTTGGTATAATTCAAGATTATTTTCTTTAAATCAACACTGCACTGCACGATATATTATCAATATGTAAAATCTATTTCAAAATGACCAATAATTTGACTGGAAACGCAGAAAAAAAGCCTTTATGTTGAAGAGAGTCTCAAACAAGATGTTCCTTCCTCTGAACTGGTAAACAAACTGACGCCAAGCTCTGTGTGTTGAGTGGCTGTTTGGCGTGCAAAAAATTAGTTTCCTGTACTTCAATTATATTCAATAATTGTTAAAATTACTAAAAATTTTAATATAAAACTTTTAAAATTATTGAATAGTACAACCTTCTTGATATTTACTAAAATGGTAAGGAATTTAAGCCCTAGAACCGATTACTGTATTGGCGGACTAATACTACAGCTGGTGGGCAGCCAAATGCAGGCGAAAACATGTTGGGAAAATTCATAAGGAATTCGTTGACTGGGGGTTTGCTCGTTAGCCGAAGTGAAGAATCTTATGGAAGGTAATTCGTTAACCGAGGGATCACTGTATATGTTAGTTGAACGAAAGGTGTTCTCTCTCTCTCTCTCTCTCTCTCTCTCTCTCTCATCTTACTGTGGCAGTAACACCTAGTAAGGTATTTTGCCTGTATATACAGTATACATACTTCAATAAATTTCACTTGCTTTTCATTTGTTGTTTCTTTTCATTACCCAACTTGTACTATTTACAGAGTATTTTAAAGGTAGGGTGAGGTAGTTATGAAGTGGGTTAGAGGTGTTTATTTATTTAATCCTAACCTAATCACCTGTGGTTTGGCAAAATCACTAATCTGGCACTGCTCAGGAACCAATCAGACCGGATTTGAGATGTACGGTAGTTCAATGGTGGATATTAATAGATATTTGGTCGTTTTACAGTACTGTACAGTATCTATCTATTTATTTATTTATTTATTATTTTTTTAATGGACATGGCCATGTACTGTAACCTATGTGCCTTTAGTGTTTATTACTGCACTGTCTAACAACTAACATGATTAACAGTGATGGTCTATGATGGGTCGAGGGAGGCGTCTGGCCCTTGGCATCTTTGTCCTGCTGGTGGTCGACGTCATTTGGGTGGCTTCATCAGAATTGTCGGAGGTATTATTTTCTTACGTCATGTTCAGTTTTTGTCTGTGATATAACATGAGAAAAATATAGTAAGTTACAGAGTTTACTTGCTGTATCAGTTCATTTCTACATTCAGAGTTGCCTGAAAAGCTCATGCTTGCATTACAGTATCTATATTGAAGACACTGAGTACCATACATCTCAACAGCCTTGAATATGAAAAACCGCACAACTGTTTTCTAAATGTTTGTTGAAGAGAGACTGGAAGTAACGGAGAGATTGAGTAGGGGTGGAAGAGGTCATGGAGGAACCTGTTGAAAAGATTAAGAGAGAGAATGAAGTCTGTTCCCTACCACATTCTGACCATTAGAATTTTACTAACCACAGTGACTTTGAGAGCAGAATGTCTGGAAAAAAGGATACAAGGAATACTAAATTTAGAAATAAGATGTGCAAATAAAAGGAGACTAACCAGGTTTCTTGAGATGGTGTGGACAGGTTGAGAAGACGGGGGAACAAGGATTAAAAAAAAAGAAGTAAATGGTAGGAGAGAAAGTGGAAGACCAAAAAGGAGATGAAAGACTGGGCTGGTGTATTTAATGGATAAAACGGGAATAGACAACAGGGAAGAAGCAGAGATCGTGGTGTTGAGTAGTTTATGGGGATGGACCTGCCACTGAGGGGTGGTATTAGGTTTACTAAAGTAATGTGGGTAAAGCAGATGGAAATCTTTAGATTGTGTTGTGGAAGGGAAGTACTGTAGGAGAACACATCTTATGCACAAGTAATTAATGAATGATCAGCAGCAAATAATGGGAGGGTATCTGTTTCTCTTGAGCCTGAAACACTTTCTTTTTAGTATACGCTGTATGTAACATTAAGAGAAAATAAATATATGGTATAAGGGATGAAAAATAATAGACTTTTTTATATTTTTCAAATTTTATTTTCAGTATATCTTCAATGATACCGGCTTCAATAAACCTTTTTTCAGTACATACTTAAAGACCAGTATGTTTTCACTATATTTGCTGGGATTTATATTTTGGAGCCCCTGGAGACACCAATGTGCCCAAAGAAACCACAATGAGAGTATTTACCAGGTAAGTTATTTATTGCAATTCATATTAGATTATTTTTTTGATATTTTTTATATGTGATATGGAAATAAATTTATTTTAGGGTAATTGTGTTGCTCTTTTTTCTGTGTTAACTAGACTTGAGTCATGCTATACATACTGTAGAATATTTACTGATTACAAAAGGCATTGGTTATTCCTTTTATTTCCAAGGCCTCCAGACCACCATTTTATTTCATAACTTTGCCTTCTCTTTCCCCCTTATCCCCTTCACTTCCTCTTGTGCTGAATAGAATCATCTGGCATTAGCCAAATGAAATATTTAAGAGACAATGAAGGGGTTAATACAGTAAAACCTTTATCGTTTATCAATCAATACTTTACAAATTGGCTAGTTCATACATGCAGTTCAATGTGTGTTATGTTCACCAAAAATTAAATATTTTACACTTCCATCAATATTGCAAAATATAAAATTAAAAATATAAGAAAATGTGTTCAACAAAAAACAATAGCAAAGCAAGTAGTGATGTACAGTATGTTCATTGTACAGCCCATTCTTCCTGCATCACCTGAAGAGGCACTGGGAGGGAGTGTATATTAATATGAAGTGAAAAATGTATTGTCAAAGCACTTGGTCAGTAATGTGTCCAAATTTAAGCTTTCTAGCTCAAAAATTTCCATAAATAACATCCAGACAACATTAAGTGTTGAGTTGAGTATGCTTCTAATATTCTCTTGCTATTACAGGAAGTGGATTCAATGGAGGATGAAGATTTACCGCTGTCAGATGTTTGGTATGTTGAATTGTACTTGCCATTTGTAGTTGTGATGTAATAAAGTATTATGTTGATGGAATTGTGAATGGGTGCTTGTAGTACTTAATTGTATTATTAACTCCTTCACTTCAGTGTTCAAATTATGCAAAGTATAAATAGATTTTGCGCCTTAATCCTTACAATAATTTTGTGTCATTTATATTAAGGTGATACAGCAATTATTAAAGCATAATATTTCATAGCTAAATAGAGTAATTTCTTATTGCTGGCTTTGTTCCAACAATTTCAGAAAGAGACTCAATTATAGCCTCAAATCTGGTGTAAAAGCATGTTGTTGATAAGCCTCCAAACTCCTCATTGCTCATGCCCCTCATTGTTATCTCTACCATTAGCATTGGGGAGTTCTGATGGTCAGTCGTCATTGTTATTGTCACTGCTGTCGATACCTTTCTTTTCTATATCTCTAAATTAGGTGTAAATTAATGTAAAAATAACAGTAAATTTATTGTGTGGCAGTTGTGGTAAGACTGGTGGAGGAGTGTGGTGTTTTTTTTATGAGGGAAAGACAATTGTTTGAAGACCGGGTTGGGCAAAGTGTTTTATAACCATTTTCCACGCTTGTGTGGATTAGCCGTGATTATCTGATGGCAACTTTCCATTCTACAGTCTTTGCATTCCCTCTTGTCAGGTTCTTAACTCTTAATGTCATTTCTTACAACCTCTCCCCATGTCATTCTTGGCTCTTCTCCCCCCACATTTAGACTCATACACCTCTTGACCTAATTAGTGTGATTCATTCTCCAAAATTCCAAACCATCTCAGCATACTGCTACACAGAATTTTGCCAATAGAACTCAATACCAGCCACCCTCTTACCTCTGAAAAGGATTTTTTGTCTTTCAGTGCCACATTGCATATCCACCTCACTAGTCTCATTTAACTTGATGGATAAATGTATTGCAACTGCATAGGTTGTAGTAGAGTGGTGTGGTCCAAAATTGTTTGGGTACACCTGTTTAAAATTTGCATGACAGGAGAAATTATGTATTAATGAATATATGTAGCACATAGTGAAAAGTGTTCACTTACTTAAAAATTTCTTCTATACAAAAGTCTATTCAGTATACAGACTGCATATAGTGAGGAATATCTATACTTAAACACTTGTCAAAAGGTTACTTTTAACAAGTTTTATGAACAATCTGAAACCCAGAGAATACATTAATTCTTTAGAAGTTGCTATTTTGCATGACCTGGCATTTTCTGAGAACGCAGCTACTGCACTGTGTGGAGTTTTACTGTGCTCAGAAACCTTCACCTAAGTCATTGATGAGGACCTCAGATGACTACGTACCTGAGGCTGATTACCCCCATTTTGTTATTTATTTTTTTCCCAAGTTTTTATCCATTTTATTATTATTATTTTTTACAGGGATTAGCCCACCCGGGCACAGGTCACTGACCCACATCGGGGCCTGGGGGCGAAAATGTCAGGAAATCTTAATCAAATTTATGGAAAATATTTTTTAATGTTTTACCAATACCGGTAATTATCAGGGTTTATACTGATTATTGTAATGTATATTATAGAAGTATTTATTTTTATTACTCTTCTTATTAATATGAAGCTCTTGCAGACGAGAGACAGGCGCACCCCTCCACCTGTGCCCATCTTCACTTTGGACCAGCTGGCATCTAGTGTTGCGAGAGACAGTGATGCGAATGCTCAACTGACACATTTGGTCCTGTGGCACTATTTACCCATTCAACAAGCTAGAACGATTTATAACAACAATGATGAAAAGGTGTCTCTAAATTATTTTTGCCAGTCATATGTACAGGAGTTGTTAGCATTCAAAGATATGAAGTTAAGAATGCATTATAGGAAGAAAATTTTGTTGAAGAATTGGAAAATAAATTGGCATTCAACTCAAAAATTAAAACAAATATTTATTGGGGTTTATGATGATAGAAATATGAAAAATGAGGGAGTGAATTTAGAACTTAAATGAGAATAAATTGTGTGTGAAATGTAAAATCTACTTTTGGGGGAGGATTAGTAGTTGTGTGTGTGATCTGTTGTATCAGGTCATTAGGGTAAAGTACAATGATGAAATTTTTAATAAAATTTTTAGTTATAGATTTTGTTGAAAATAATAATGTGTGAAAGAAATTCACCATTGTTGTAATGTTCTGTGAGAGGGAAGTTGTACTGAAGATAGAATTATATTTGTTGAATGTGTGTTTAACAGTTTTGATAATAAGAAAGTATAAGTTAAAGGTATATTACTGTAAGGAATGACATTTTTAGGATATCTAATGAAGGGGAAATTCGGAACTGAAAAGGTCCGCTCCAGTCTATTATATTGTTGTGTGTACTTTACATAAAATGGATAAAAACTTTGATTTTTTCTTTTTGTTTGAGATGGTTTTGTCATAAAAATTTACATTTGAGAGAGATCTGTATAACAGTATTCTCAACCTCTTGGTGCTTGGCATAACATGAACAGTGGAGATTATTGTTAATCCACTTGAATTACGATACCTGTAGTATTTAACCAAGTCATTAGTGCTAATTCAGCATATGGGCCCAGTTAGAGCTGAGGCCAAAGTGGTTAAGACCCAGACACTGAGTCAGAGACAATTTAATTTTTTTATGCCAAGATAATGGCTGCCAGACTGATATTAGATATTTAGAAATGACAGTTGATCAACTGTTCAGTGTTTTCCGGGTGTTTTTGTATGTTTGTAAGCATAATTCCTCTGACCCTTGCTTCATGCGAGGATTACATTCTGCAAAAACTTCGCCTGACTTGAAATCACAAAGTGAATTCTTAATCTTATGGGGATGTGTTCTACAACCATTTATGGAGCCCCTCTACCTTAATTCTGGCACTTTTTCATAACGACAATAAAAGACAACAGTAATGCTATAAAAGTTGAGGAAAAATCATTATAATACTCTAAGGTGGCCTAGAAATAATTAATATGCAATAAACTATAAACTAAGAAAAGCGAAGTGTGTGTGTGAGTGGGAGAGAGATAGAGAGAATGAACGAACGAACTTGGGAGGCAGTGGGCTGTAGCTATGTTGCTGACTCGCCACTCTAATGTGGCTTTGAAAAAAATAAAAATAAATAGTATAAAGCTATAAAATAAGAAAACTTAAGAGCATGGGTGTGTATGTGTGGGAAGTGAATGTTTGTATGGATTCGGTAGGCAGGAGGCTTTAACCGAGTCAGTGGCTTGTCACCCAGACCGTGCTCCCTCCCCTTGGTGTGATGTCATGGCATACAGATGCACACACACAAACACACGAAAGATACACCTGGTTGACTGCCTTGCTGAACTGATATGATATGAATCAATTTCATTGTTTATCATACATCATACAGTATTACGGTCAACCTTTCGCTGAAGTGAGGTAACTCTCACTACCCTAGCCCTGATAAACCAACTGACTGATCTCTCCGAACAGACCTGACAATGAATAAATAAATTTGTGGTCTTCAAAGGTGTTGAGCAAAAATCTGCATCATTGTTTGAGACAGACCTAAGCACCTGGGGATACCTGAAAAAAGCCTCAAGACTTTGGCTCGTTGTTCATTTTTACATGGCTTCTGTTTGTTCAGTGTTTTTGAAGAATACCTTGTATAACTATAGTACTGTATGTACTGTGTAAATTAAGGGTCAACTGTGAGTGCCTTGAGATAAATGTGCAGTATTTTCAGGTGCCTCCAAGAGTGCCCTGGCACTCACTAGGCTGGTTCGGCCTTTGTATCTGTATTTTACTTACTAAATACTGTTTTAATTTCAATGAAACATAGTTTATCACTGAAAACAAAATGAAACGGTATTATTCTGTCTTTTTTTACCTATATTCGTACTGTACAGTGTATACTGTAGTGTGCTAATAAACCCCTTGTGTTTAGGGGCTCTCTGCTGAATCAAATTATTTGGCATTAACCAAATAAAACATTAAAAGAGTGGCATCCCCATAGTGAAGGGGTTAACTTGGGGCTGAAATATTGAACACTTAATAATTTATCACATTTTTTCAAAGCCATAATTTTTGTGGTTCCTACACCATGGTCACAGAGTTTAAGTGTTGATTCAGTACCATCACTTTTGCATTTGTTAGGAAACATTATAATGGTAGCATAACTGATTATAATCTGCTGTGCATTATGAGTGATGAAAAAGAAATGTGAAGAGCACAAGTGCACAGATGATTTGGGAAAATTTTTTATATTGAATGTACAGTACGCCCGAATAATTCGTTAATTTTTATTTCGCAGTCCTCTATTATTCGCATGATGACACCCTGGATGTACCCAAGAATGTCTGCGGGTATTTTTAAAGTTGCCGTCATTTTCACTGCTGGGACAAGGAGCATTCGTTCTAGAGACAGTAATTTACTTTACCTGTATTGTGTATGTGTGTAGACACACACATATATATATGCAATACAGGTAAAAAAAAATTGTCCTGAGGGCAAACACATACATTTCTTTGTACACAAGTGAAAATGTACTCAACCTTTCGATTGTAATTATTGAAAAACCTGCTTTCCACTGTTGCAGCTAAAGCCAATGGTAGACTTGGCTAATACAGAGTATCTTTACCTTTATAAATAAGGATATATTTGTACCACTTTATTTGACACGAGTCAGACCTATCATTGACTATGAGTTTAATACTGGTCACTTTTTCTAGCCAAATATAATGAATTACTCCCCCCAAAATGCAGCATGTAGCAATAAATCTAGTCCCAGAGTTAGCATACAGGGCATTTGTCATATGAGGACAGATGCAAATCCTTGGGCCCATAGACATTACAAGACAGAGGGAAATTGGACATAGGATTGAGGTTTACTAGCTACTGCATAAATACTAAAACATTCACTTCTCAAAAATTTTGAAATGCAATATTGTACCAATTACTGTACTCTCAAGAGGCCACAGCTTCGTGTTAGCTAAACCTGATCATTGGAGAACCACTATGAAAGGAAACTGATTAGTTAAAAGGACCATAAATCCCTGGATTTTTTGTATTGCCCCCCTCCCCAAAGTGTTCTCATATGAAGCGTGTCAGTTCTTTTTAATGGATAACAAGGTATGACCACAGTATAGTCGAGGTTAACATAAATAATTTAGTCTTGAGTTGGCCATTGCTGTATGAAGAAGTTATGATATTTTCAGAGGGACATAATTGTATTGTAGTTTCATTATTATTTCAAAATGTTCAGAGCCCTAACACCACTCACCAAGCCCTCTCTTTTATTTTCAGAGTGAACCAAAGTATGTTCCTCTGAAACTACAAGAATTGCAAGAAAAAAGTTCTGATGGAGAATCTGATGACTCTTCAGTAAAGTCCGTCCGCTTCAGCAAATTGACAGAGGTATGTAGTGATGCTTCTTTTAAGAGAATACCAGTAACTATTTAAATTTAAAGGTAAGTCTAGATTGTTGGGAATGTAATTACTGAAAGTGAAGATCTTCAACAAATTCTTTATGTCCAGGGCTTAGTTTTGGAATTTCTGTAGTTCAAGACAGAGTTAATATGATTTAAATCAGAGTGAAAAAATCATGATTAGATTTTATTTTACTTATTTTTTTTATACTAATAATAGAAACTATATTTTCCCTTGAGATTCTTTGTGGTAGTATAGCTACAGTTGATATAATTCAGCTCCCCACTAACTTGAATAATTGATGCAGAGCTCTTCCGGGAATGAGAGATTTCCCGGTAATGATACAAATTTCTCAAACCCGGAAAATTCAACATTCCTGGAATTTTTTATTGGTAAAAGAATACTACTTCGCTATTCGCAACCCCATTCTCATGGTGGGAGGCTACTGTCTTGCCTTTCAAGAAGACTTGAAAAGAGGCTCTTTGCCCTCGAGAATATTGCCCCATAGTTCTTATCTCCTGTATCTGCAAGCTGTTTGAAAAGATGGTCAAGTCTCGATTAGTATACTACCTGGGGAAGAATGCCCTTCTTTCACCATATTAATCTGGCTTCCGGATGATGCTGCAACAACAGATGCTCTTGTTTGTATTGAGTCCTCGGTCTGTGAGTCCTTTGCTCATTACCAACATCTCATCTGTATTTTATTCGACCTAGAGAAAGCATATGACACAGCTTGGAGATTCGGCATCTTTAAGGACCTTCAAAATTTTGGCTTGCAGGGAAATTTACCATCAATAATAGGTCAGTTCTTGGGCTGTTGGACTTTTAGGGTCCACATTGCCACAGAAATGTCAGCACCACATATTCAGGACCATTGCAATAAATGGGGTAACAGCTTCTCATTGTATGTAGACAACTTGGCCACTTGGTATGCAGCTTCCCGCAAGTTAGTGGCTGAACGTCACATGCAACTTGCACTAGATAAGGCTTTTCATTGGACCACAGAGCATGGTTTCAAATTTTCTCCCTTGAAGACTGTTACCATGCATTTCTGCTGCTGCCGCCAAGGTGTTCACCTCAATTCCAATCTACAGCTCTATGGTTGCCTGTGCTGTGTCACAGAGACCCATTTACTGGGCATTATCTTAACAACCAGCTTCTATAGCAGCCACATGTTTATTACCTGAAAGAGTCTTTAGTATGCTCTCAAGTTATTGAAAATCTTGGGGCACACTTCTTGAGGTGCTGACCGACGAATTCTGCTACACCTTTACCACATAGTACTAGTTAGACCCAAACTGGATTATGGGTGTGAGGTGTGCTCCTCAGCCACTGAGGTTAGACTCACTACACTGAACTCTATTCATCATGCTGGGGTGTGACTGGTGCTTTCAGGTTCTAGCTAATTCCAAGTCTACTGGTTGTTGCTGATGAGCCACCCGATGATCTTCGATGCCAATATCTCCAGGTCCAGTGTTGGTTTTGCCTCAGTTGCCTTCTGCAATCTGTAACCAACACTTGTGTAGCTGACGAGAATATGTCCCCACCCTACACTTAACATCCAAGCCTCGTGCGACCTTTTGACTTCAGGATAAGGGAGGTTGCGAGTCTTCTTTGTCTTTCTCCTATTCAGATATGCCCCAAGCAGTTCCCTAGAGCTGCCCTGTGGATTCTCCCTGAAGTTCAAGTTTGTCAGTATTTTAAAATAAGGAAGGACTTGTTCCTTCCTTGTGTGGTTCATTCTCTTTTTTTTTAGAGCATGCCTCGTCTCACAGAGGGACTATCCCTGTTTACACCGAGGACTCAACGTCAGATGTAGGTGTGGGTTTTTGGGTACCGGTAGTCTTTCCAACTTCTGCCGTGACAGTAGTCTACCTGCTACGGCAGCTGTTTTACAGAAGAGCTTTCAGGTATTTTACTTGCCCTCAAGATTATTTTTACCCGACCTCATTGTGATTTTACAATATTTAGCAATTCTCACAGTGCTCTCCAGGCCTTTGCAAGTATCTCATTGCCTCATCCCTTGGTTATAGTTATTTTAGAGTGGCTGTTTCTCTTTCAACATCTGGGCCAGAATTTCATTGTTTGCTGTGGCAAAAACAGCTGCTCCTCACTCTGTGGCACATCATTAACATCTACCTGCTTCTGATATGAAGCCAGTAATAAGAGCTGACATCCACTCAAGTTAGCAATGCAGGTGGGATGCTGTTGGAGCAAACAAGCTCTGCAACATTCATCCTGCTTTGGGTGCCTGGGGATATCAGGGACTGTAACGCCGCTAGAAGATCTATTTTGGTCCACCTCCGCATTGGCCACACGCAGCTGACACATGTTTTTTTTTTAATGGAGAGGGTGCCCCCTCCCCATTTTGATGACTGCATGGTCCCATTGACTGTTCGACACCTGGTGGAGTGCCCCCAGTCTTACAGATCTTTGTCGTGGGCACCTCTCCGAGTCCCAGGGGGGAGACGGGCCTTACCATTTCTTTGGTGCTGGGAGGAGGGGGGGGGCAGCATGGGAGGGGACATCCTCTCCTTTGTAGAGGAAGCTGCCATTTTACAAAAGCGTTGAGTTTTATCGAATGTTTAAATGGTTTTATGAAAAATCTAAACTATTTTTATTTATGTTTTTTGGCTTTCATTATTTGTTTTTAGCCTTCTAAGCTTTTAGTTTAATTCGGCTGTTGCATTGCCAGGGATGTAATTACCACAATCAATCAATCAATCAATCTCTTCTATCTTTACCAGTGTTTTATTTGTGGATAATCCCAAAAATCTTTTATCTCCTCCCCTAAATCATAAAATTGGATTTCTTATATTGTTTCTTTGTCTCTTATAGGATATTGATTTATAAAAATTTTCATTATTTTAGGTTCGGCAAATGTCAGAAAACGAGGCAGTTGATGCCATGATGTCTCGCCTGTCTTTTTCTGCCTCTGTCCGTGCTGAACAACTGGCTATGCAGGCAGCAAATAAATTATCTGTTAAGGAAGTTATGAAAATATCTAGTATATTTTGTTTATTGGTAAGTATAGATGTTGATTTTATCTCGGATATTCACTTGGCTTTTTATATTAAATCTCCTTCATTCTGTGTGTGTGTGTGAAAGTGAGAGATATTAATTATTATTAAATCCTTGCCAAGTTGCTCTCACAATATTGGGAGTCAAGTAAACCCCCCATAACTCAGCACATATGGGACCGAGGCCTTGCCAATTAATCAGAATTTGCCGGCAAGTATTATTTCACAGTCACAGTAAATAATTGTGCTGACAAGCAAAAGATTACACTTTATACATGACACTTAACACTATCTGTACGGTAACGCTTCATGGGCGCTTAATCACTGTCAGAAGGTCTACCAGTGACACGAGGC